CGCTGCAACAGTCGCCCACGTGCTGCTTAAAGGCACCCCTGCGATGCGCTCGGGAAGAGCGCCCATGCTCGACAGCCATTGAGGCTGACGTCACAGGCCTACCGCGTCCCCATGTACGGAGGGGGGGGAGGGGGAGGCAAGGGGGGCACACGAGGTCGGGGCGGAGGCGGATGTGGTGGGGAAAGAGGGGGCCGTGGATGGCGACGGGGGGGGATGGGGAGGAGAAGTCGGACGTGCCCCAGGTGGCCCCGGAGCGAAGGTGCCGAGCGGGGGCCAGAGGTGCTCCGAGATGGCAAGGGTCCGCCCACTGGGGAGCTCGCTGGGCCGGGGCGCTCCGCCCCTCCCCTGGAAGCCCTACCACGGGGGCCTCGCCCCCCCAGAACGCCATCGTAGGAACAAGGAAAGACGACACCAACACCAACAGGGCGAGGAGTTAGGATGAGGCAAGGGGGGTCTCCCTGGTGTTGTGGTCCACCCCTCTCGCTCGAGACATACCCAGCCTCGAGCTCGGGGAGGCATCGTGGACCTCTTCGCTGGAGGTGGTCCCCTGGTGGTGCTGGTATCGCTTCTCCTCCTTCCGACATCGAGCGTACCTCGCGCTTCTCGCCACCTGGGCCAGCACGGGAGCGGAAGGAGCGCCTGGGGAACCGGCCCGAGAGGGCTCCTGGCACCGCGCGTTCCGGAGAGCCTTGGCGTGGAGAGCTGTCGAGCTGCCCGGTGTCCCTCGGCCCCGCGGCGAGGGGCGGGAGCCTCGGGGGTCCCTGCCTGGGGTTTCTGGCGGAAGGGGCCCCGCCTCTGGCCTGCCCCGTCCCGTGGCATCGAAGGCAGGGAGCACCGGCAGCATGGTCTGGGAGGCGTCGGAGGCGCAGCAGGCATCGGGCGGGGGGGCACCGAAGGCATCGAAGTGGGGACGACGACGAGAGGAGGGCCAGTGCCCGCGGGGTGACCAAGGCCGCGACCGAAGGGGACGAACGGCATGGAAGGGGAGAAGGGAGCGATAGGGGAGAGGAGTCGGTTCATCATTGCTTCCGTTTGCTTCATGCCGTTAAACCTACGGAAAGCCTGATGCGCCCCAGGCGCTGGCAGCATTAGCAGCATCGTTAGAGCTTCACTCGGGCGACCGTTTCTGGCAATCCACGGACACGTGAAGAAAGATCAACTGAAGCAACAGCTTCTGCAAAAAAAGGCAAAACAAACGATTACATTCACGCACTCCTCCCCCTTGGCCAAAAACTGTGTTATGTCGAGATTCCCGCCTGCGCAGCATACGTGGACTCAGAAAATTGGCCCACACGTGTCCTCCCGTCGCCAATGATATTGAAGTCTTCCACGGGGACATCGGCGAATATCATCGTCCTCGCATTGGCAAGGTAATCTCCGATATGGTCGTGCGCCCTTCGTGCCCAACAGGCTCGCACCACCGCTGTGGAGGCTCCCATCCCATCCCCTCCTCGACCCCTGCCCCTCCGCCGCCTACCTCTCCTTCTCCTCCTCCTGCTCCTTCTGCTCCTCCTCCTCCTCCTCCTCCTCCTCCTACTCCTCCTCCTCTTCCTCCTCCTCCTCCTCCTCCTCCTCCTCCTCCTCCTCGTGTCCTCCTCCTCCTCCTCCTCATCCGCCTCCTCCTCGTGTCCTCCTCCTCCTCTTCCTCCTCCTCCTCCTCCTCCTCCTCCTCCTCCCCCTCGTCCTCTTCTCCTTCGTAGTATTAGTATCATGATTCGTCTTATTATAAGTGTTAGTGGTATTTGTATTAGCCTTCGTCTCTTTATTATCATTATTATTAGCAGTATTAATATGTTTCGCTGTCTTCAAAATTCTTAGTCGTATTATTATTATTAGTCTGCACACTGTTCTTGTTCGTCTTAGTTTTCGTATGATTATTGGGTTTAGTGATACTATTATTGGTATTATGATTCTTCTGCTTCATATTATTCTTCTTATTCAAAAATCAGGCGCTGGACCCGAAGCCGCGAATCCTCGTAAATTACACTGCGTCCGCGCGCCCAAGGCCGCTATCCCTCCTAAGTTACGCCGGACTCTTCATAATTTACGCTGGATGCACTGTCCCAGGGCCACGAACCCTCGTAAATGAAGCTGGGCTCGCGCTCCCAATGCCAAGACCCCTTGCAAGTTAAGCTGGATTCGCGCTCCCAGGGCCAATATCCTTCACAAATTATGGCGGATGCACGCTCCCAGTGCCACGATCCCTTGTAAATTGCGCGGGCTTGGCGCTCCCAATGCCAAGATCCCTCGTGAATTACACAGGATTCACACTCCCAAGGCCACGATCCCTCGTGAATTGTGCGGCCTCCGCACTCCCAGGGCCGCGATCCCTTGTAAATTACGCTACGTCCGCGCCCACAGGGCCGCGAAGCACCGCGCGGAGGCTGCCCTAACAGGGCCCCCCCCTTTCCCGAGCAAAAACCCATACTCTTCTGCATTGGGATAAATGTACACGTCGGTCGGAAGAAGTAGGTAGAAACATGAAGTAGGAATGCGGATATAGTAGATTGGGTCCAGGTCCTCCCAGAGAATAACAAAACACAGCAAAAGCATGTCGATTCTTGAAGTAGGAAGGCGCTTGAAGTAGATTGGGATCTGGGAATCCAAAAATACCTACTTTCAACGACCGGCGTGTACTCGGGGAGCGCTCTTCGGGCGCCCCGCCGTTGCCTCAAGATCAGGCGATGGACCCGAAGCCGCAGATCCTCGTAAATTGCACTGCGTCCGCGCGCCCAAGGCCGCGACCCTCTGCAATTTACACCGAACTCGCGCTCTCAAGAAGGGGGCCGCATGCGAGCCCGACCCCTACCCTCCCCCTTCAGAAATCGCGGGGGGTAGGCCCGCCATGGGGCCGAAACTCGCGAAAAACCTCCGGTCATGACTTTTTCATTGCTCGAGGGGGTCTGAGTCTGACGCTCCTGCAGCTCGGCCCCGAGCCGCCCCGGGCTCGGCGGGGCCCTCGAGCGCACGGGCGTGGCCACCTGCGACAGCTCCTCGGCGGCGCTGCCCGGCGGCGGCTCCCTATTTCAATTCACACCGGACTCGCGCTCTCTCGAGGCCAAAGTCCCCTGTAAATCACGCCGGGTCCGCGCTCCCCGGGCCGCGACCCTTTGCAAGCTGCACGGGCTGCACGCTCCCGGGGCCAAGATATCCCCACGAAGCTACGCCGGCTGCGCGGCCCCAGGGCCACGAGCCCTCGTGGTTCTGGCGCTGGGCTCGCACTCCCCATGCCGAGACCCCTCGTAAGCTGTGCCGGATGCGCGCTCCCAGGGCCAAGAACCCACGTGAACTACGACGGATGCACGCCCCGATCCCTGGTAAATTGTCCGGGCTTGGCGCTCCCTGTGCCAAGATCCCTCGGGAACGACGCCAGATTCACGCTCCCAGGGCCAAGAACCCACATAAATCACACGGCACTCGCGCTCCCAGAGCCGCAGTGCCTCGTAAATTACACTAGGTTCGCGCTCCCAGAGATCCGATGTCGCGATTTGTTCGATACGGTGTCCCCAGAAATCTCGACCCTTTCTCCAGGACCGGCACTTCATCCTGAGCAGTTTTTTGACGGCCCTGGGGCCCGGCGAGGGCCCCTAGAGGCCAAAAACTGCGAAAAACCTCCGTCTTGATTTTTTCAACTCGTTGGGCTCACAGGGCCGCGACCACTTGCAAATGACGCGGGATCCCTCGTAAACTGGAGCACCGGAGCGTCTTGCCGAGCAGCTTCAGGGCGAGGTACTGCCTGTGGTCGTACTTGCCAGCCGTGCACCTCGGAGGACGCAGTCGTCTTCAAGAGGCAAGGGTGGGGAAGGCAGAGGAGGAGGAAGAGGAGCAAGGAAGAGGGAGGGGGAGGGGAAGGGGGAGTGGAGTGGAGTGGACGCCGTTGCGGAAGCAAGATCCCAATCCCTTACACATCACGACTCGAAGCGGCCCTCGAACGCCTGGCAGTCTGTTCTGCCTGGCTCAGGACTTTGGGCTGTAACCCCCTTCTGATCCTGTCAAGGTATTCACGCTTGGTCTTATTCAGCTTGTACGAACAGGGGGACTTAAGCGATCGCAAAACCTTATCTGCGAAAGCTCCACATTGGGTACAAAACCACACCTGAAGCCCCTTGTGCACATTCAACGTGTGAGTCCTATGTGCCCAGCCCCCCGCGATATGAATTCTATCCCCTTTGAGAGGAGAGAAAATGACCCCATCAGCATTATATAACCTCGGACATGGAGTCCCGATCCATTCACCTACTGTAGCATGAGTAGCTGACCCGAAACACTTCAGACAGCGTCTCTTACAATCAGCTAAGGAGTGGGGCGAAAGGAGAGCCGCAACAGCAGCAGCAACAGGAGGAGGCGGGAGGGGAGGGGGAGGAGGCGGAGGAGGAACCTCAGGCCTACTCAGTCTAGCCACCTTCTCAGCTTCCGTCGTCGCTGCAATACTGTCCATCGTGGCACGCAACAAACGCATTCTGATCAGATACGCTCGGCGCTCGTGCAACAACACCCGTGTCCTAATACTTTCAGGCACTCGCACGCGGTTGGCAGCATACCCCGCAAACTCGTCAGCAATAAGGTTACCAATGGCAAGGCTCCGAAAACATGTACCAGCTACGATGTCCCTAGCGTTCATATGGGAGTGTGTCCACAAGACGACCACATGTCCCACAACACGGGTGCGCATCAGCTCGCCAATTTTATTCCATATATCTGCGTCCTCCCCATCTGGGGACACGTACCTACCGTCATACCACCCTTTCGCAACCAGTTCGCAGTCCGTCACAAATGTGACAAAGTCAGATCCGCACCACAAAGCTAAATACAGGGCAAGTAATTCGCCTCGGGCCACCACCTGTCTGTCTCCAGCAAGCGGTCCTGACACGGTCGCACGAATCTCAACCTGGGGAAGGATAGCCGTCAGGCATACTATAGCAACTCCAACTCGACGCAACTTATTCGAAGACGACTCAGCACCTCCTGAAGCATCCCCAAAAATAAGAACAGGATCCACTGCACAACCTGGCCCCAGACATCCCTCCTCGAGCCCATTGAGCCCTGTGGTTTCCCAGTCTTCAGTCTGAGTTGGTCGGGGTACTTGGGTCCATTCATATGGTATCATACCGCGCAGCCAAAACGCCTCAGCAGTATTGAATTGTGTGTGTGCTTGGGGAACCATATCACGAGTACGCGTATAAGGTACAGCTCCCTCGTTTTTGTCACAGCCCCAATACCTGTGAAACGGTGTTTCAACTGCGTCTTTACATCGATCACACTTATCATTCCCTTTGTACTTAGCTAACTGTTCACACTTCCGCTGTTTGGTCCAGAAACCTCCAGTACAGATATTAACCATAAGCTCCCCCAATTGTGTCCCATGCGGCAATTTGTTTAGCATTTTGATCAGCCCCCTATACGATTCCATATCGGCTCCGTGCTCTAAACCTCCACCACAGTAATGTTTAGAAGCCTGTTGCCAGTTCAATCGTCTTGCTGAATCTTTGATATCATTAAGAAGATGCCGACGGTGATCCAAAGCCGGGTTGCCAGTGTATATGTGATCTGGGAACTGCCACTCTTCTTCTGAACCAGAACGTGAAATATACGACCAAGAATGCGCCTCGGTGGGTTCCCATTGCAGTCGTAACAAATTCAATATCGTCGCCGATATCGGCCCTTTCACAGCGCGAACTTGGCCCCCTGGGTTCCGATTTTTTAGCTCAGCCACCACTTTGGGCCAAACAAACCGAATGCTTTTCCTTAAATCGGGATGGGCTTGCCAGGACTTTAGCCATTGATCGATACACTGAGTAGGGTACAGCACTGACGGATCGGCCTCAGGGGCCCTCAACTCCAGCAAAGAAGTAAGACATCTGCCTTTGGTGCCCGCCCCACACGTTTGGCCTAACCGACGCCTGCACTGCAACAGCTGTTGACCAAATACCCCATGGACTTGATGTCCATAGGTCCCTGCCGCTTGTCCCCCAGCCCGTTCGATTTTTGACATAATATGGTATTGCTTAGAAGCCCTCGTAAACCGTTTGACTTTCCCACTCATCTTGGCGTGTTTATCATCTCGCTGTCTTCGAGTCTGCCGACCTCTTCGGCCACAACTAAAGTCCACTCCAAGGTAAGCTGCTTGTTTGGCCACGCTCAAAGGGAAGCCCTGCAAACGAGCTGCTCTCACAACTGCTTGTGCATCACTCAACGTAGTACACATCACCACTGATTTCTTTGCGATCTTTAGTCCGACTTTAGCCAACTCCTGTCCAGTCTTGATAACAGCTCTGGTAAGATTGCGCCGAACAGCCTGCCGCGAGCCCGTTGTACGCTGGGATATATCATCGATCCAAACTCGATGTCCCATCTGCGGCGTAGCAGTCGTCACAACTTTCAAAACAAAATGTGTAAGAACTTTGGCAAACCTTGTGCCGGACCTCAAGCCCTGCACCACCGATTGGCACGGCTCGAAAGGGTCGGACGCGGCCCCCTCCTGCTCCAGCGCGCGGACCACGACGCACTGCAGCAGCTCCAAGTAGAGCACCGTGGGTGGGAACCCCAACTTGAGCGCCGCTTTGACCAGCGGTGCCCAGGGGATCGTGTCGTAGAACTCCTGCACGTCGACGAGGTTGTGGCCGAACTGGAGCTGCATCCATGCCGCCAGCTCCTCATCGATGGCCCTGAGGTAGGCCTCCTGCAAGCGCGAGTTGCCCGCCACCGCCGCGTCCCAGGCCTGCTCCTCCTGCACCGACCACTGGCGCACGATCGGCTCTCGAACGTGCGACCACAGCCTGCCCAGCATGGAGACAAGGCCTATGGCCCTGTCCCCCGTCACCTTTTTGGGGGTCAGCTTGCCGACCACCATCATCGTCTGCACGGGCCACACCAGCAGATGCTCGATGCTCTGCAGGATGACCGCAAGCTCCGCGATCGCTGGGCCTGGCAGCCGCTGGAAGTCCACTGGGGACAGCATGTCCACGCCCATGCCCGCCTTAGCCTGCATGGCCTTGGCGCTGGCATAGATCTGATCGACCTGGATCGGCGGTGAGGGTTCCATTTCTGCTGCAACTCTGATGGTCCTGAAGATCTCGCGCACTTCAGAAACCTGTGGGACTGACGGGGCCCACAATTGCTTGAACTTCTCTGCTTTCAGATTCATCACTTCCGATGGGTGCTGCACCACTTTCCCGTCACGAAAGACCTCCATCGTCGGCAACGGTTGAGGCCTCAGCGATTTGTGCAACACCCCTGCCGCTGTAGGTTCGACCACCCACGATTGAAATTCTGATAAGAATTCTTTCATAGCCGCCCGCTGAGCTCTGCCCATGATACGTTTGGCCGCATCCACATACGATTCCAAGACAGCAATGTTGATACCACCAGGGTCTCGTAATGCCTGCAGCCATTGCTCCCAAGGAGGGTCACGAGCGAGGTTAAGTACTCCATGGACTCGCTCTGGTCGGCCTTCACGAAGTTTGCGGCACGCCTCGTACATGTCCTGCAGCTGCTCAGCACCGTTGTTACGACTACGATGCCTGGCCACTCCATGCAAGAGGGTGCGCACTCTCGTCCACCATTGGCTACGTTGATCTCTGAGCGGGAGGGCCCTGGCGTGTGCGACCACACGCATGGGCTGCACGGAAAACCTGGGTCCGCATGCACGCGGCACCCCAGGGGCGACCTGAAGATCATGATGTGTACGGACAGCCTTCTCCACAGCAGAAACCCACGACGCGCACATGCCAGCGACGGCTACGCTTTGTCGTGGTTCGAGCCGAAAGGCTACGGAGGAGGTGAGGAAGGGGGAGGCCTGCTGCACCACATCGGCGCCAGAAGAAAATCCAATCGAGTGCCGACTTTCCATCCAAGTCTCAACTGGGATTTCAAACGCGACCTCGCTGGCATTATCCTGCGGCAGTGTAGTGTCACCACGGCTAGAGTCCAATAAATTGCCCCTCACTGTGTTAGGCGCACTACGGTCATGAGACTGTTGCTCTACGGGGGTACTGACTGGCTCAACGCAGGGGGGCTGGGCCTCACACGCAACCGAATTGTCAGACTCTACGAGAGGCTCTTTTTCCATCGGGGCTCGGCCGCACATGGGCACACTGGGCGCACCGCTGGGTAGGGCCTTTCCCCCATCAACAGGCTGACACTGGAACGCACCAGCTAGGTTAATATCACTACAGAAGTTGAGCTCGGAGGCCCAAGGATCTTCTTCCTCCTCGGGGTCCAAAAAATCAGGCTCAAAAAACTCATGAGGCTCCTCGAGGGCCCCTTCACCCTCCAAAGCTCTCAACCCCTCAGCCTGGTCAAAACAGTCACCGAATTGTTCTTGAAAATCCGCTACTCGCTTTTCGTGAGCAGCAGCACGGGCTACGGAAGCTTTGGCCTTGGCTTTGCTGGCCTTGGAGCCTACAGTTGGCTCCGTCCTCGGTCGGGGAACTTGCGGTAGCTTACGCGGGACCTGGAGGACCCTAGTATGCAGCTTAAGCCCCGACGACCAAAGACGCAAAACGAGCGCTATGTGAGGCTTCCAGGCTACATCACGCACAGGCTCTAAACTACGCACGAGTGGAACCGCAGATTCACTCATAACTAGGTAATCTATCATGCTATCGGGTTCTCCCTTTTTCTGCGCACATGTGCCTACTACATCAGCTACGCGCAGAACTCCACCCACCCTCTCCACGAACTTCGACCGCACCAGCGTCTCTGGAGTCATGTTCCAGTCCCCAATCACTGCCCAAGGAATGCTCATCGCCCTCAACAAGCCTC